TTTTTTTTAAGTGAGGTCTAATTACAACTCTGTAGTTGAAATTTTGAAAGAAACAATAACTTCTTCCGGTGAATAAATATTTATGTTATCTTTTATATGCTACTCTATTTAAAGATCCACTTACTTAAAATTTTATATAATAATTTTTATATGTAATAGTGGGATTTCTTTTTTCTTAGATGAGGTCTAACTAGAGTTCTGAAACTCTCTCTAGTTGAAATTTCGAAAGAAACAATAACTTGAATAAACATTTATATTATCTTTTATATGTTACTATATTTAAAGATTTAAGTCATAATATTCTGTTTGTTTAATAGAAATAGAAAAATGTTAGAAGAAGAACATAAATTCTTAAATGATTCATTTTCGGATTACGAGTACTTTTGACGAAAAGTATTATATTTCTTAATTTTAACTATTTTTGAGAAGTGCGATGTACACAGAAATTTGTCATTTCTATACGATCATTTCTAACTTTGTAATATTATTTTATAAGTGTACGATCAAATCTTCTATATTAATGATATTCCAAATAATTAATTGACATTCCAAAGTCAAATCTGTACTTTTTGATTTGATAAAACGCGCAAATAAAATTCAAAGGTTCAGGAGGTTAAATTGTAGAACCTCGTGTGACTCGATCGCGATGACCTATACATCCGTATTTTTGTTTCTTTCTTTCTTTTTTCAATATTATTTCGCACGCTTATTACCGTACACCGTCTTATTTTATCATTGTATCATTAGATTGCCAGGAAGCAATTCACGCTGGTTATTAGTCGCTATCTCTCGCATCGGAACGAAAAACTGTAATCAGTGTTTTTTCCTTACGGGTGAAGAAAAATTTGATTATAGATGGTTAAAAGCGGCTGACCAACGAAGCTACGAAGCCCCGAAGATCGCCACGTTTGTATTCCCACGTCCCTGAAACCTTCTTCCACGTTCTCATCCTTCATAACATAATTAGCGAAAAATCTCGCTACGAACTATTATCCTCCGACGTAACGAATTTCGAAAGAATAAGAGAGAGAAAAAAAGAGATATATTTATGTTACTTGCACACCGTTATATCTCGTGGCTTTTACGAACGTTTGGAAATTTCTTTCAATTGATTTAATGTTCAATTTATAAAATGTCAAAATATTTGTAAAACATTGTAAAAAATTGTAAATTTACGTGCTTGTCAAAAAAAGAAAGAAAAATTGCAACGCTTTAAAAGAATCATAAACTTTATTGAAAACTCTTTTTTTTTATTTCTAACCAAATTTCTTCTTCATAACAGCCCCAAAAAAGCTGCGTTTTTAAATTGAACCATAAATTAGCCACATGCTGCAACTTTTGTCTGTACGTACCTAAAAATTTTGTATAATAATACGTATGTATAAATTTAGCTAACAGTCAAAATTACGAGATTTTTCATAATTGCTGATAATTATAATGAACGTAGGTATGGTGATATAATAAATTATCATCGAATTGACAGACGTCAAATTATTATCATTCGAAATAATTCGCATAAACTAACCTTGTTACTTCCTATAAAAGTTTATAAAACGAAAGTGAAGGAAATTTTTCTCAGAAGATGTATCATTAACTTACTATACTCGGTGATTGCTCTAAACGAAGTCACATATCACAGAAACACAATCAACGAGAATTTCATGCTAAATATCATTTAAATAGAATGATTACTCCCGATGTTGCGTCATTTTATTCAAAGTGACGCTTCACTCGCTATATTTCGTAAATAAATTGCTGGTAGATGACACAAAAAAATATTTTCGAGGGTAAACAGCTAATAGAGAAAATATTCAAGTATGGCAGTGGTTTTCGCGAAACATTCTCTAAATAAATACACATACCTGAGCATTCGTGCAACGATGAGAGGGATGAAGGCTCCGCGTGGCAGAGATGGAAAACGGAGAAGAGGAAGTCGACAGGACGATACGCGTAATTTTCGCTAATGATCGTATCGGCAATTAGTTATGGCCTTTCTATAAATCTTCTCCCTAACTAATTACCCTTTACACTCCCAACTCAGAAAGAAGACCACACGGGTCGCGTGGTTTCGAAGCGAGCCTCGCTGTTAAACGCTAATTATTATCCTCGCGAGCGATAAATTAAACTGCCAGACGCCATTATCGGGTATCGTTAGCCGATGTATGCTTTCGCGTACTTATGGCTGGCGAGTTACAAGAGAAAGGAACACATACTCGCCCCTAGCAAATTCAATTCACGCCACTGCGTATGACTATGTCTCTCCTTCGCCACGGGACACGTATGTGATACTGTACAAAATTATTTATCTTTTATTTAAGAATCAATGACAGTTTTGATCGATGATATAATTTAACAATAAATGTCAATATATGGAAAATGAAACACGCCGGAATGTAGATAAACAATGGTAGATAAAACAAATATGATATGAAATATAAAATATCTTCAATATAGTGTAATGCATCCAAGATAATAGTAGATAAAGCTACTTTTAAATAGGTTCTACTTGAAACGTGGATCGTGCAACTTTTTCGAAAAATATTGTTACTGACACTGTACAAAATTTTACTTTATTTAAAAGTTAATACAGTTTTAATCTATAATATGATTTAACAACAAGCACACTAAATGTTAATATATTTAGCTAGAATATAAACTATGTTGTAACCGGTTAAATTATTGTCACTATATAGCAGTGTTAATATATTGTTAATATATTTGTTAATATATTTAGCTGGAAATATAAATGTTAATATATTTAGCTGGAATATAGACTATGTTGTAACAGGTTAAATTATTGTCACTATGTGGCAGTGTTTATTAAATTTGTAAAACAAAAAAAAAGAAAACGTAACTTCTCTAACAATGGATTCGTGAACTTGAAACTTGTTCCAACACAGAACACTGTTGAAAGCTACCAAAAGATCAGAAGAAAAAAAAAAAGTCCCCTAAAGCAAAGTTTTATCCTAAAGTTACTTGAACCAACCTTTAACGTACTACAAGTCCCTTCTTTCGTACAATCCACTGCCTGCTACGAAACCTTCACGTTCCAAGAACTAGAAATGAAATAAAGTTCTCTCTCTTTCCCCTGCCAAAACTTCTATCCTAGAAGCGCGCAAACACCGAGCAACCAGCGCAAACAGATCCAAGTACAGAACAGAGAGTAAACAGAAATCGACTGACGAGCAATTAAACGTCGACGAGGTTTGATTGGCGCTCGACAACTTTGCCTAACCTCGACCTATACGTCGCGCCCCAACTACGAGACTCCAGGCCCAAGTAACAGAGACCAGGAGTTGCTGCAACAGTTTGCAGAGGACGAACGACCTCTGGTAATTCGATTGATGCGACGGAACAAGAGAGCAACGACGACGACTCGAAAACCTGTCTCCTTTTTCTTCTAACGAACGCGACCGAGAGGCGATGGGAACGTGTGTGAGCCATTTAACGAAGTCGACGAGCACGGCAAAGCGAGGTCAGCCTTTCTGTCTCTTCGGGGGCCGATATTTAACGCGATTACCGCGCGAAAACGGACGGGCCAATCGAATTAGCCCAGCTGCGCGGATAATTTCATTAGCATCGATTCTGGCGGGACCAGGCTGATTCGACGTATTTGCACCGTCGACGTCGTCGTCGTCGTCGTCGTCGTCGTCGTCGTCGTCGTTGCTGCGCGGCAATAATGAATTTTCGCGAGACGTGTATAATTCCCCGAGACAGTTGTCAAATTAACGAAGAGAATTATTTTACTCCTAGAAGCGATTTGATATAGCGGTTTTTATATAGGGTGACGGCCTGTGTACGAGGAAGTTATTAAGAGGATTACATAACCAAGAATATTATTGTACCAAGTGCAGCGATAAAAATTGGTTATCACGTTATCACGAGACGACAAAAATGACTTCTTTTTTTTTTTTTTTAATTCTGAAGGATCAGAAACTCTCGCGA